TGCTGCAGGAGCTGCTCCAGGAGCTGGGATGGCAGCACAGGGAGCTGTGTCTGCTCTCCGTGCCCCTCGGGGACCCTCCTCCCGACGGGAATTCACTCCGGTGCCAAGAGCTGCACAGACGGATCTGCACCGGCGGCCCTGCAGAGTAAATCCCCTGTCCGGAGCTCCCTTGACAGCACCGTGAGAGGCTCCCGCAGGGTGGTGTCGGTCAAAGGGTGCATTCCGTGAGCTGGGAGCTCTTTTCCAACCCGAACCATTCTGTGGAGAACCCACCCATTCATCCCCACCCACCCCGGCGCACACCCAGGCGCTCCGGTCTGGTTCGCAGCAGGGGCTGCAGCAGCTTTGGCTGCGCGGGGTCATCCTCGTGGGGAGGATCCATCCCAGCTCCTGGATCATCCCAGGAAACGAGCATCATTCCCAGGTCACGAGGAAAACAGAACAATTTATAGCTCTCCTACTGCTACAGCCTTCCCCAAACCCTCTGGGCTTGTCCTTCCCTCCCACCCGCTCTCCCCCCAGGCTCCTTTCCCTTGTTTTTGTCTTTTTAAACATTATTACCTCTCAGATCCAACCAGCTCAAATACTTTTTAATACATTGAAAATGTAAAATAAAGCATATACGAAGTACATACAGTATATATATACACATATTTCAAATACTTAAAATTCTTATGTAAAATATGATTTTTTTTCTATATTATTTGTGTAAAAATACATTTTCAAATGGTGTCACCTCGATTTTGCTGTACAGACCCTCAAGCCCAATCGAAGTCCCTTTTAAAAAGGCAAAAGACAAAGGTTTAGGATTTTTGGAACTATGTTTACAGGCCTGTTGTCCACACAGGAAAAGCCTCTGGGAAACAGTATTGGATTGCTTCTTTGTGAGAATTCCCGTTTTTATTGCATTAACGGCAGGAACGGAGCCTTTTCAGTTGTGCTGCAGTAACCCCGCTGGCCCGGCCGAGGAACTGCCCCGGTACCCTGTCACCACCTCCGAACCCGAACCCCTCCTTTGCCCGCTCTTTTCAGATACTAAAATATATATTACTTCAAATATATTACTGTAAGCTCTCCGGCTCTGCACGTGCAGCAAACGAAAGCACGAAACCCCAGCCAGGGCCGAGGCCGCCCCAGCTCCTGTCCCCCGTGCCCGTGTCAGAGCGGAGCTCTGCCCCCCCCGCAATTACCTGTGCTAATTAACCACCCAAGTGATGCTGCCGCGGCCCCGCCGCGGGAAAGCCCGGCCCGGCCCTGCTCTCCACACCTGCCGTGGGTCTCACGAACCATTCGTCGCATGGAGCCTCCCCCGAGGAGAAGCCCCAAAGGCGCTCCCGGTCCACCCTCCTGCCCCGGATGGTCTTTGCTGCCTCCCTCCTGAGGATCCTTCCCGAGGAACCCTCCCAAAGTCCCTCCCGAGGAACCCTCCGGAAGATCCCTCCTAAAGGTCCCTCCTGAGGATCCTTCCCGAGGAACCCTCCTGAAGATCCCTCCTGAGGATCCCTCCCGAGGAACCCTCCCAAAGGTCCCTCCCAAAGGTCCCTCCCAAGGAACCCTCCCAAAGGTCCTTCCCGAGGAACCCTCCTGAAGATCCCTCCCGAGGGTCCCTCCCGAGGAATCCTCCTGAAGGTCCCTCCTGAGGATCCCTCCCGAGGAACCCTCCCAAAGGTCCCTCCCAAAGGTCCCTCCCAAGGAACCCTCCTGAGGAACCCTCCCGAGGATCCCTCCTGAAGGTCCCTCCTGAGGATTCCTACTGAAGGTTCCTCCTGAAGGTCCTTCCCAAGTCTCCCTCCCAAGGATCCCTCCCGAGAAACCCTCCCAAGGAACCCTCCTGAAGATCTCTCCCAAGGATCCCTCCCGAGGAACCCTCCCGAGGAACTCTCCTGAAGGTCCCTCCCGATGATCCCTCCCGAGGATCCCTCCTGAAGGTCCCTCCTGAAGGTCCCTCCTGAAGGTCCCTCCTGAAGGTCCCTCCTGAAGGTCCCTCCTGAAGGTCCCTCTCGATGATCCCTCCTGAGGATCCCTCCTGGTAACGACCTGACCAGGAACTGCTGCTCCAGCAGCTGTTTTGTGCAACCAAAAAAAAAAAAATAAAAAATCCAACTCCCCAACCAGTGCAACTGCTTGGAACCTCCTCCTTCCTGTAAATTCCCAGAGGGAAAGTAAAATTCCACACCAAATTCCCTCCCTTGCTGCCCACCTGGCTCAAAACCTGAACCCCCGGAGTCGTGCTGGCACCTCCTGTGCCTCAGCCTGTCCGTGGGCTTTGGGGCTGGGAAGTGAAGCGTTGGTCAGGCTCTAATTCCAGTTCTGTGTCCTGAAAAGGGAAACTGAAACCTCGTCCCTCATCAGGTTCCTTTCCCTGCCACAAACACTCTGACATCAGGCTTTGGAAATCCTGGATTTTTGATACTGCCATTCCCTGCCGTGCTATTAAACTCATTCCTGGGGGACCAAAGTCTCATGGTTTAAACTCCATCACGACATCCCTTTATTATAAATCCTTTGTGGAGGTGGATTTACTGCCCGTGGGAAGGAGCCCCAGCAGTGGGACAGGCTGCTCCCGCTCCAGGATTCCCCCTTCTGAAAGCCATCATCCCACAGCCAGCTGCAGCACACACAGAACTTCCATGGCTTTGTCCCTGTTCCAGGGATTGTTACACCCAGCCCTTATCCCCCACGATTTCCTCACCCTCGGAGATGCTCCCCCAGGCTGCACCAGGAGCGTGCTCACACCTCAACGGGCACTGAGAGAATCGATTTCCTTAAAAAGAAAAGGAAGAAAAGCAGCCCAAGCTAAGTGTTGATCCAAGAAATGGAACTAAGGCACTGACAGGTGGAAACTCCTGAGCCACCAGCACGATCCTACCCTGGCCAACACCAGCCAGAGCCACCTCCATGTCCAAGGTCACTGAGTGTCCCACCCCGGGTCCCCAGGCAGCCCCTCCTGGGGTGTCCCCAGCCAGAAGGGCACATTCCCATGGGCTGGCTCTGGGAATGGCACTGCCCTGCACTGCCAGGGAACGGGCACAGCACGCCCAGCCCATGCTGAGCCAGGGCACCGGGGAAATCCAACAGGAGGAACCTGCTGGAGCCACAGCCGGGTGGGGCTGGTTTGGGAAGTGCCAGGGGAGCTCTGAAGAGCCTTTCCAGCAGCAGCTGAACGCCTGTGAGTGCTCAGGGGCACAGCTCCCTCCTCATCCTCTGCTGCCCCCCTCCAGCAGCCTGGAAAATCACCCTGAGAGGAGCCAAGGAGAGACCAGAACCGACCCAAGTGCGCAGAGAAACCTCTCACTCTGTTGTGTAAGCAGCACCAAGCTCTCCCAGGCTCTCTCAGCCAGGAATGGAAGGGTCTGTCCAGGACTATGGGAAGGAATTTCCCTCCTGAGGGAGGAGTGGACAGACCCTGCTCTCAGCTCCAAACCAGCCCACACTGCCTCCCTCCCCAGGTTTACAAAAATGCAGGATTTCCTCTTCCCGAGCAAGAGCTGCATGGGGGCAGTGGCAGGAACTGGCACAGGCTGGGGGTTCTTGGGCTACCCCCACCCCACCACGGGTGGCAGATGCTCATGGGGACAATTTTGTGCAATGTTTTAGATTTTAAAAAATCGAGTTAATTTCTAATCCCTAAATCCTCCTCAGCACGGGATGCCTGAGCAGCGATGTGGAATCACGTCAGGGGGGGTCACTGCTCTGCAGTGAATTTCAGATGGCAGAACCCAGAGCAGGTGATGCTGCAGCTCCTGCTGCTCCAGAGGCAGCTGCACTCCCTGGGCAGGGAGGGAAATGCTCCTGCTACCACGGGATCGAGTCTGGAACTCCCTTTTCCTCGTCATCACCACCTAAATCACAGTCATGGAATATCCTGTGCTGGAACGGACCCCAGGGATCATCCAGTCCAACTCCTGACCCTGCAGACACCCCAACAATCCCACCCTGTGCTGAGAGCGTTGTCCAAAGGCTCCTGCAGCTCTGGCAGCCTTGGGCACCTCTTGTTCCTTGGAAAACCACCCAGGAATTATTTCTGCTCCTCACCACCAGTGCCGGGCTCCCGGGGAGAAGGACAGGGGAGCAGTAGTACAAAGGAGAGGGGAAGGGAAGGCTGAGAGTCTGTGCACCACTCAGCTGCCCCGCTGCTGGGGGAATATTGCTTCAGCTTTAAAAGGCCTTTGGATTAAAAGTGAATTCAGTGCTTTTCCATCAAAAACATACATAGCTCTGTTCCCTGACCAGGATGCAGCAAGGCCTCCACCCGGCCCGGGAGGGGAACAGCCCTCGGGTGACTCGTGCTCCATCGGTGCCCTCAGCTCCAGGAACACGGGGCCACTGTGCTTTCACTTCCCTCAGTGCAAGAGAAGGAACCCAGAACTGTCAGGGGCACAGCTGCCACCAGCCGTGTCCCCACTCAGCTCTGAGGGCTGCCCCAGCACCCCTCCCTCAGCTGGGCCCAGCTGAGCTGAGCTCAGCCCAATTTGGTATTTCAAACACAAAGAGCCACCCAACGAGGCCCAGGCAGACACTCGACTGCCTCTCCCTACACCCAGGAAATACAAAATCTTGGATAGAAACTGGAGATGTCTGACCATGGGAGTGTTTGGATGAGAACAAAACGCTTCCCAGAGCATGGCAGGACCCAGGGTGATGCTTTGTGCCCATCACCTGCCCCTGTGTCCCAAGAGCAGCTGGCTCTGGGCCACAGGATGGCAGCTCCAGCTCCTGGGAATGCCCAGGGGAGCAGGTTCCTGCCAGCCCTGGGAATGCCCAGGGGAGCAGATTCCTGCCAGCCCTGGGAATGCCCAGGGGAGCAGATTCCTGCCAGCCCTGGGAATGCCCAAGGGAGGAGATTCCTGCCAGCCCTGGGAATGCCCAGAGGAGGAGATTCCTGCCAGCCCTGGGAATGCCCAGGAGAGCAAATTCCTGCCAAGAGCGTTGTCCAAAGGCTCCTGCAGCTCTGGCAGCCTTGGGCACCTCGGGTTCCTTGGAAAGCCACCCCGGAATTATTTCTGCTCCTCACCACCAGTGCCGGGCTCCCGGGGAGAAGGACAGGGGAGCAGTAGTACAAAGGAGAGGGGAAGGGAAGGCTGAGAGTCTGTGCACCACTCAGCTGCCCCGCTGCTGGGGGAATATTGCTTCAGCTTTAAAAGGCCTTTGGATTAAAAGTGAATTCAGTGCTTTTCCATCAAAAACATACATAGCTCTGTTCCCTGACCAGGATGCAGCAAGGCCTCCACCCGGCCCGGGAGGGGAACAGCCCTCGGGTGACTCGTGCTCCATCGGTGCCCTCAGCTCCAGGAACACGGGGCCACTGTGCTTTCACTTCCCTCAGTGCAAGAGAAGGAACCCAGAACTGTCAGGGGCACAGCTGCCACCAGCCGTGTCCCCACTCAGCTCTGAGGGGCTGCCCCAGCACCCCTCCCTCAGCTGGGCCCAGCTGAGCTGAGCTCAGCCCAATTTGGTATTTCAAACACAAAGAGCCACCCAACGAGGCCCAGGCAGACACTCGACTGCCTCTCCCTACACCCAGGAAATACAAAATCTTGGATAGAAACTGGAGATGTCTGACCATGGGAGTGTTTGGATGAGAACAAAACGCTTCCCAGAGCATGGCAGGACCCAGGGTGATGCTTTGTGCCCATCACCTGCCCCTGTGTCCCAAGAGCAGCTGGCTCTGGGCCACAGGATGGCAGCTCCAGCTCCTGGGAATGCCCAGGGGAGCAGGTTCCTGCCAGCCCTGGGAATGCCCAGGGGAGCAGATTCCTGCCAGCCCTGGGAATGCCCAGAGGAGGAGATTCCTGCCAGCCCTGGGAATGCCCAGGAGAGCAGGTTCCTGCCAGCCCTGGGAATGCGCAGGGGGCAGATTCCTGCCAGCCCTGCCTGGCCAGGCACAGCAGTGTGACCCCTGCTCCCGGTGGGTCACAGACAGTCCCAGGACTGAGCTGTTCTGGTGACTCCCCTGGCCAGCCCAGCTCCCTGCAGTTCCAGCAGCAGCACACCCGGACACCTCCCTTCAGCTGGGATACTGGGAGAGGGGGACCTGCAAACCAGGAACGCCAGCCTGCACTGCACAGCCCAGGAGCCTCTGCAACAGAGGGAAAGGCGATGGAGGGAAAGGCTGGCACGCCAGGGATCTGAACTGGGAGCAGCCAAGGGAGCCCACTCAGGGCTCCTGCCTCGGTGCTCCATCAGCACACACGGCTGCACTGGATTATCCCATTCCCTCTGCCAAGAGAGGGCAACAATGGGCTGTGGGCTGGACTCCCCGGGGAGAGCAGAGCTCAGCAAACGTGCTCAGAGCAGGCTGGGGTTACTGGAACTGCAGTACAAGTCAAACGCTATCTCCTAAAAGATTGAAAAAATATCTTTAAACAAAATAATGTGGCGTATTTACATAATTCCTTAAGTGCAAACTCTTGTCACAATTCACGTAGTCGAGCGCGATTTCGACTCCCTGTACAAGAAGGTGCTCTTTCGTTAATGAAAGAAGGACTCTAACTCTGTATTCCTGATTCAGTAACGTGTCTCTTGTGCAAGGCAGTAAAATTCCTGTTTCTTCCCAAGATTCTTCCGACAGCAGCCCCCGGAGGAAGCCGCGCTACTCCCCACGTGCCGCCCCCGTTACCGCACGACGAGGCAGGAGACGCAGAGCTTGGAGGGGCCGATGCAGTCGTCATGGCAGAAGGCACCGCAGCCCTTGCACATGATCATGGCTTTCAACCTGCAGTAACATTTGGAAGGGGGATCCTCCATGGCGCCGTCCTCGGCGAACGCCTGCACCGGGAGGCTCTGCCCGTGGCCGCCGGAGTTCACAGCCTGCCCGGTGGGGATGGTGGTGACGGTCACGGAGAAGGACATGACGTTGCCCATGGAGCTGGCCAGCTGCTTGCACTCGCTCATGAGCGAGCCCTGGCCCACGTTGGGCGAGGTGGAGACGTTGATGGTGCCGCTGTAGCTGGGCCCCAGGAGCTGCGCCCCGGCGCTCCCGGGCAGCTTCGGGGCGTGCGGGGCGGGGAGCAGCGGGGGCTGTGCTGGGTCTGGGGATGGGGTGGGGGGCCCGAAGAGCTCCGTGCCGCCGTGGCCCTTGCTCCTCATGGCGTGGGCCATCTGCTCCTGCGCCGCCTGCAGCAGGTCCCGGGCCAGCGCCGTGCCGTCCAGCGCCGCCACCTTCTCCTTGGCTGCCGGGGCCGCCTCGGCCTTCGCCCCCAGGGAGCCGGGCTCTGCAGGGCCCTGCTCCTTCTCCCCCTGCCCCGCCCGCGGCTCCTCTTTGACGCCGATGCGCTCCCGTTCGTCCCCGGAGCTCTCGTCGTCCGCGTCCTCCTCGCTGCTGCTGCCCTGGCCGCCCGTGTCCTCGCCCTCCCCGAGCTCTGCCCCGGCACCCTCGGCGGGGCTGCTCAGCCCCAGGCGGGGCTCGGCGTTCAGGGAGAAGCCTCTCCTCAAACTCTCCGAGCCGCGGCCGTAGGTGGAGATGTTGAGCAGGTAGTGGCCAGACATGGCAGGCTTGGACGTCCTCCTGCCCGTGAAGCCCAGCATGAATCTCTGGCTGGTGGAGCTGTTTTCCACCGGGAAACCTGAGTGCGGGAGGTTCAGCTGCGAGGGCTGAAGGACGGGCAGCAGGCTCTGCCTCTGCACCCTCTTGATGAGAGTCTGCAGGATCTGCTCCTGGGTGGATTTGCTCAGCGCCTCGTGGCCCTGGTGCTGCTCAGGCCCGGGGTCCTTTCCCGAGGCGAGCGGGAAGGTCCTTGGAATGTGAGGCAGAGGCCTGTTCTGGCAGAAGATCTTCCCAAGCTGCTGCGGGGGCAAACTCGATGCTCTGTCCCCCGCCTCGGCGCCGTTCCCCGCCGCACCGGGAGCTGCCACCCCCTTCTCTTCCTGAGGAGCCACCGGGACGGTTTTCATTTCTGCTTTGGTGAGCGGCTTGGGCAGGATCTGCTCCAGAGGGACGCTCTTGCCCTGCAGCAGCTGGGTGACCAAAGGGTTGTTGGCAGGAATGCTGGAGCTCGCTCGGGGCAGGGCCCCACCGGGAGGAGATTTAAGGCTGGCTGCTACTGAGGAGCTGCTGGAGGCTGGGACGGGTGCACCCACAGCTCCAGCCTGAGCTGCGGGGCCCGCGGGTGGCACGGGGGACACCAGAGGAGAAGGAGATTTGCCTTTGGGAAGGTCACGGCCGCCTCCTGCTGAGGGACCGCTCCCGTTCCCAGCTGCCGGAGCCCCCCGGGCCGGCGCAGGAGGGGCCGTCCCCACCCTGTCCCCGCCGGGGGTGCTCAGGGACCCGGGGGTGGCCGTGCCCCGCGGGGGGCTCGGCGTGGCCCCCGCGCCGTTCCCTAGCGCCGGGGCTGCCGCGGGGGCCCCTGGCTGTAGTTGTGCTCCAGGAGGATGGCGAGCAGCTCCCGGCTCCGCCTGGCCCTCCACCTGGGAACGGGGCCCTGGGCCGTGGGGAAGGAACCTTCTCGAACCTCCCCCGCTTCCAGTTCCTGCCAGTTCCAGTGCGTTCGCTCCAGTTGCAGCTTGGGTGGCTCCGCCGGGGTCTCCCCCCCTGCCCGGGGGTCTCCCCCCGCCCGGGCCGGGCCCCGGCACGGCTCCCCCGGCCGAGGCGGCGGCGGCGGCGGCCGCTGCCCTCTGAGCCTTGGCCTGCTGGGCTCTTGCCTTGATGTCGGCCAAGGTCCTGGCCCCTGTCCTGCCCGGACTGCTGAGGGAGAGGGGGAAGCACGCCCTGGGAGAGACCTGGCCCGCAGGAAATGGCATCGGGGAGATTCTGGACACGGGAATCTGCAAGAGAGCAGGAGAAAAGCACGGCTGAGACACGGGCAACACCCGACCCACAGGTTGGAGTTTGCAGTTTATCTGAGAGAACTGGTGGTGGTGGTGATGGAGAAATCCCTTTGGAGAAACCCCTCCTGTCCCTGCCTTGCGACAAGAAACGTGTCCGACCCTCGGATGCCTCCCAGGCAGTTTTGGATACTGCAAACCCCGTGGCTCTGAGTGGAACTCGTCCCTCATGTCACCCCAGAGCCCCCAGGCTCCCTCCCTGAAGGGCTGATCCAGCCCCTGCCCTGTCAGCCCCTGTTCCACTGTTTCACGTTATTCAGATGTAATTTCAGATCTAATTTTCTATTCAGATGTCCTTTGAAAGGCGTCACTACCCTGCTGGGCTCAGCCTCGCTCTTCCCCCCTGCTCACCCATCATTTGTCTCCTCAGTGCCTTTGTGCAAAGCCATAAAAATCCCCTGAGCTGGAAAAAATGCCAATAATTTACTCTTTCCTTCTCCAACATTTCCCCCAATGTTCCAGCTGACTTTCCCCATGTTTGCTCTTCCCAGCATATGTGCTGAGCCCTGCACTGAGCCTGGTGCTGTTCCCCCTGCAGAGATCTCAGGGAGTTCATTTGAGGTTACATTTATTTTCCTTATCCATAAAATCCTCACTGGATCCCACTGAGCTCTGATCAATCACTTCACCACTTCACTTCTGGGGGATGACACGTCTTGGGGACACGTCTGTCCCCATTTTCCCTGCTTTGCAAGGGAATCTATTCACAATCACCTTCAACTCACTCTGCTGTTAAATGAAATCCCACCTTCATTGCCCTGGCAGGCCAGCCCTCGTTCCTGCACGGTACTCCAGACCTCTTTGATGGACAGTTTCCCCAATTCTGTGTCACTGACAGTTTCACTGATGCTTTCCTGCCTTGGTGCTGTTCTTATTAACATGGTGACAACGATCAGCTGCTTTTAAAGTTTTCAGTCTGCAGCCTTTTAGTACAGAGGGATATGAACAGGGCAGCAGAACTCCTGGGACACGCAGGGCTACAGGAATTCAGTTTCTGCCTAAGGGCCTGGAGCAGCAGGGTCAGCACAGCTGCCTGCTCCTGACCTGGCTCTCAAAGCCAGGGCCTGCCAAGCCTGCAGGGTTTCTGTCCTGGTGTCCATCCCAGCAGGGGCCAATTCCCTCCTTCCTTTCCCAGTGAGTTCTTGCAAAGGCTCAGCAGCCAAAGCTCCTCTGCTCCTGAGATGTTCCCCCAACTTCTCCTTCCCTGCTCCTACACTGCAGCACTACAAACCAGACCGCAGTGCTGCCAGGGGCTCTGCTCTTCACCACAGTGTCTGGGCTGGCTGCAGGGGACCCTGGATGGCACTGGCTCCTTTGTCCCGGGTGTCCCCAGCTGCCAGGCTCCTGCTCTGCTGACTGTCACCACGGCCCTGCAGAGCCCTGTCTGCAGCCTGGGACAGCAGCAGCTGTGACAGGGATGGGCTGGGCTCTGGGGGCCCTTCCACCCCACTGAACACGCAGTTTGGGGTTCAGTGCCCCGGGGGAGCCCCCGGGGGAGGCCCGGCCGTGGCTCTGTCCCTGCAGGACTCACCTTGAGCGGGGGCACCCGCGGCACCGCCGGCCCCGCGCCGGGAAAGGGCTGGCTCCGAAAGGCCTGCTGGTGCTGGCAGGGCTCAGCCACACGGGGCTTCTTCTCGGGGGTGCCTGCAGCTTCCTCCCTGCTCTCCGACTTCCTCTTGTGGGCCTCCACCCCGACCTCCATGGCCTCGTTCCCGGGGGGTTTCTTCTCCTTCTCCTTCTCCGCCGTGGCCGGGGCAGCCGCGGGGCTCTGCGCCTTCGCCGCTCCCCCGCCTGCCTCGGGGCTCTTTGGTTTGCTCGGGGCACCCAGAGATTCCCTTCCTGGCGCTTCCTTCGTCGCCCCAGGCTTCCTCTGCTCCTCTGCCCGGTGGCTGGGGGCGCCGGGGGGTTTTTGGGGCAGGGTTTCCCCGTGGGCTCTCTCCCGGCCGGGGCCGGGTCTCTCGCCGGCTCTGGCCGCTCGCCGCTCTGGGGATGCCTCGGTGGGCTTGGCTGCCTTGGGCTGCAGCTCCTCTCTGCCCTCCTCTCCTGCTTTCCTGCCGCCTGCTGGGGCTGCCAGGGGCTCCGAGGGGGATGTGGATGTGCCCTGCTCCCGGCGTGGGGCCGGGGGGCTGCGGGGCCGGCCGGGCTCTGCCTCGGGCTGTGCTGTCAGTCGCTCCGACTCCTCGGGGCTCAGCCCAGAACTGCCAAGGAAAACAGAGATGTTGCTTTGTAAAACACCCCTGCAAAAGCATCCCATCCTTGGGGAATGGAGGCAGGATTCTCTAAATGAACGCCCTAAAGAAATGTCTCACACACCCAGTTCTGTGCCACCATCACTGAGAACCTTCCCTACTGATAATCCTTCCACAGGAACCAGAAATCAGCAGCAGAGGTTACAACCAGCTAAATGCAATCCATGGAACACTGGGTAGCTCCAGGCCTGTTCCAGACACCAGTTTTCCAGGCTGCAAACCCAAAGAGTTTGGCCAACAGTGAGTATTTCCCTGCATGAGCCCCCACTGCCTCCTCTGCAGCACAGGAGCAACCTGGCACACACGGTGACACTGGCAGGAGGGGACACTGACAAGGAAGGGCCCCACCACCCCTTCAGGAGGAACATGGGATCTAATTCCCACGGTGATGTCTGGGAAAAGTTTCTCCTTCTGGATTAACTTCATCCATCCCTCTCAGTGATTTGTCAAATTGGGGTTTTTTTCCCCAACCACAACCCTGTGAAGGTCTGGTGAACCCAGGGATTGGTTCCCCCAGACAAGTTCACAGGAGCTGGAGGGAAATGAGCTCTTGCACATGTCCCCTCCACGCTGTCCTGCTGTCCCCTGTCCCCCTCAAGCCCAGGACTGGGGCTGTTGTCACCTTCCCACGAGCACAGACCTGGCTCAGGTGGCTGATGAAGCTCCAGGTGAGCTGCACTCCCAGCCTGGTGTATCCCTGTAGTTGTTCCTACAGCCTGTAGGGACACCCACAGCATCCCAATGGAATGCCAGGAATACCCCCCGGGCTCTGCAGGGTTAAAACACCCAGGATGAATGGGAGGCACAGTGGCTGGCAGGGTGAGGACAAACCCAAAACCTGGCAAAGTGCAGGGTTAGGAATTCCTGGTTAAAACACCCAGGATGAATGGGAGGCACAGTGGCTGGCAGGGTGAGGACAAACCCAAAACCTGGCACAGTGCAGGGTTAGGAATTCCTGGTCAGTTATTTACACCTGTGTGCTCCTTCCCAGGTCTCTCAGCAACTCAAAAACCCCAAATCCTCCCTGTAGCCCCAAAGGATGGGAAACCCCTGAAGCAAGAGGAGGCAGAGAATAAAAGCGTGGCAGATTTGGGGGTTTAACCAGGTGGTGTGGGGCTGGAGATGTGGGATTGCAGGTCCTGACCCTGAGGTGGGTCACACTCAGCTCCAGGAAGGCCATGGGGGTGGCTCCAAGCAAGGAGGGGAAGAGGAGAGACATCCCAGGACACCCTGCACTGGATAAGGGGTGACAAACCTCCCACCTGAGCTGATCCCTGCACTGGATAAAGGTGACAAACCTCCGAGCTGGAGGGAAATGAGCTCTTGCACATGTCCCCTCCACGCTGTCCTGCTGTCCCCTGTCCCCCTCAAGCCCAGGACTGGGGCTGTTGTCACCTTCCCACGAGCACAGGCCTGGCTCAGCAAGCTCTGGACTAAACAAGTTAAACCAGCCCACTTGATCTAAAGCTGGAACTGATTTCTAGCTCAGGGTAACTCTCTAACTCCATGTCTCACCAACAGAGCTGGGAGATCCAGGCACAGAACTCTCCACCCCACCTCAGCCCACCTCCCTTGGCATCCTGGCTTCTCAGGAGGGTTCCTACAGCTCCTTTTGGCCACAGCAGTTGTCTGGTTTAAGTCTCCAGTCAAGGCCAGTTTGTTGCTGGGGATTTCTTTTGGGCTCTGCTGCTCTGTGCAAGTGCCTGCTCTCCACAGTGACAGAGACCTCAGAGTGAGGGAGCAGCTGGAGCTGGGCCAGGGCATTTGGGATGGATCTCAGGAAAGGATCTTCCCCAGAGGCTGCTGGGCACTGCCCCACGGAATGGGCACAATCCCAACCCTGCCAGAGCTCCAGGAGCCTTTGGACAGCCAGGGATGGCCAGGGTGGGATTGCTGGGATCACCTGGCCAGCACCACGAGCTGCATTCCATGATCCTTGGGGGTTTCTCCCTCTCAGAACATTCCATTCCTTTGTAAGAATATCCTTAAATTCCCCAGGGTCAATCCCACCCTTGGAGAATGTAACAGGAACCAGGAAGGTCTGGAGGGCTGAGAAAGCTCCAGTAAAGGGCTGGGAGCCAAATCCAGCAGGGTCTGAGGGATGGAGACCCAGGCAGGAATTTCTTTTCCTTTTTCATGTCCTTAGAGTGTGTAAATACATTAAATAATAAATAATGCAGGGAACAACAGCTGGGAACTCCCAGGAGAGGTGCAGCTCTGAGGCATTATGAATCATTTATCCCAATTCCAGCAGACTGGCAGCCCCTCCCAGGGTCCCTCAGCAAAGCAATCTGCACCCTTCACTCCCTTTTGCTGGTTTGGGTTTTGCCCTGGCACTGGAGGAAAAAGCCCTGGGGAAGCAGGAGAAGCAGGGAATCCATCTCTTACGTGCATGGAGCCTGTCAGATCTGGGGAAGGGCTTCTTGGGCAGCCCTGGCAGCGAGTTCTCGAGCTTCACCGAGGGTGAGGAGCTGGAGGTGGAGTTTGGGGGGCTGCTGGAGTGTCCATCTGCCTGCTTCCCTTCCCAACCTGCCAGAAAGGGACACATGAACACAGGCATGCACAGAGGGACCCTGCACGAGGATCCTCCTGCAGGGATGGAGCTCCTCC